TTTACATCAGTCAACAGAAATCTTCAACAGAAGATGAGGTTGCTAGATGTGCTAATGTAATGGGAACATAAGACACTAAATTTACTGTTTCAGGGGGATATGCAATTAGAGGCTATTAAAGATATCATGAATAATTCAAATTATTTTCTCTACATCATAGCCTATGGATAGGGTACTGTATGTCTGATACTGAATGACTGTTACCGGGTCAATTTCCTTTGGAAAAATGTTGACGAAAGATGGATCAGTTGTAGTACCTACCTGACCAAAACCCTGACCTTCAGTGTAAAGCAAGGGACCAGCCTGCAGCGATGGCGGTACCTGCACAGTAATCTGTTTAAATGTATTTACTTCACTGTGTTACAAACATTCCACCTTAATCCAGGAAATAAAAAAAGGATTTTGATAACTTTTACCTGACACCTACCATATCTCAGTCTGAATATGGGAGGTATTGGGTACAACCTTTTAAAGGTTTTTGGTCTTCAGTATTCTTCAAGGCTGTATCTCGCATCTCTGGCAAAGTTTCTGTCTATTAAACCTTAAATTGCCAGTTAATCATGTTTAATTACAGGAGGTGCCTTTTCTACAGTGTTGAACAGACCGGAAAGATTGTCCAATAGTCTCTTTTGACTTTGCACATCTTTTTTTTTTTTTTTTTTTTTCCATTTTTGCTTCCTTAAATGTGTGAGTTTCTAGATAAAAATCATAAGCTATTTTTATCATATACCTTCAAAACAGAATTATCTTGAAATAAGATAGACCAGTTGTAAGAAGAAAAACTAGATGACAAATAAAACAGAGTATAAGTGATAGATTAAAATCTGATTTGACCATAATTTTGTTAGAAGTTGGTAGCAAGAAGAATGTAAGTTAACATTTGTGGTACTGCACACTCTCTTTTAGCCTTCAGAACTTGTAAAAAAACCCAAACCCTCAGTTTCACCGCTGTCTTTATTAACTAAGATTAAGTGCAGTCTGGCCACTTATACAGGTCGTTTCAGTGAAAGCAATGAATTTATATACTTGGAAATTAGCATTAGCTTCCAGCCTGCCATATCAAATGAGTTTTTAACATGCAAGAAAAAAAACTTGTCACCATTTTAATACTAATTATTTTTAGCTACTTTTTCCTCTGGAAGTCTCACTGGCAATTTTTACGTGATCCCTTTGCTAACTGAGTAGAGGGTTCTGTGTGTGTTATTGTAGTGAAGGTAAGAACTAGATGCAGCCTTTGGGTGCTGAGTTGTCTGATGCAAGGTCAGGGTTTGTTGCTGCTCACAGAAGTTGGCTGCTTTGGGCTACTTTTGCATGTGCCTAGAGCTAGTCCCGCTTAGCGTGCAGTAAGAAGTCACATATAACAAGACACAAAATCTTTCCTACTGAAGAACATGTTGCCTGGAAAAAAAGTAAATTGAGCATGCTTCCTTGAGTCTTTTTTTTGAAGGATATTTTTAAACCATCTCTTTCCTTGCCTAGTAACTTTTGAAGAATGTTGCGTTCCACGTGAGTCAGCATGTTGGCCTCCTTCCGTAAATCAGAATTGACCGGCCATGATATGATGGTGGGTCCAAAATGAATCATGACTACTCCCTACTTCCTTGTGATCAGCAGCTTGGTATGTTTTTCATTTGCAAAGCCAAGAAAAACAAGCTAGTTGCTGAACTCTTTAATTTCAGAAAGGACATCCAGATGGGGTTTTTGGATCCCTATGTGTACAATTTTTGGAAGATACTTCACTTGGCAGATTTGTGCAACTGTATGATCATTGTCTAGACAATCTTGGTTCCTTTATATGGTGGAACAAATCAAATTCCATTTTGATACAGAAAAAAATCTAGCTCATAGATGTAAGAGCAAAGAGTGTAGGAAGTGGCTGTACTCCCGAGAGACTCTGTCCTTAAGAGCAGCGGCTCTGAACATGTAGTGGTATATGGTGAACAGTGTGAACACCTGCTGTGATCAGGGAAAAAATGCTATTTTAGATTCTCCTGGGATGTGTAACTAGGAAGTAGTGGACAGGAGAGGACTTTATGAATTTACTGATGCGTGGAGTGTTTTCCACATCGCTTTTTTTTCCCCCTCTACACTTTAAAACAAGGATGTGGTGAAACCAAAACAGAAATGCTGCAGAAATCATCAGAAAGTAGAGAAAATAAGAGATTTGTGGTGTGAGATGTGAAAGCCATCTGAGGTTAATAAAAAGATTGAGAGGTGCCCCTCGGTGATAGTGAAGGAGAATCTCTGTAGGGTGAAGATGGCATCTGTCAAAGGAAAGAGGAGGAGCTGGCGACAGCACTGGAGCATGAGAAGTGTAAACTAGAGCAGCTGATATGGCACTGATGTGGGAAGTGAACACTCAATCAAAGACAGTGGTGGATTCTCCATCTCTTGGCATCTTCAAGGCAGGATGTCTTTCTGGAAGGCGGTAAAATATGAGTCTGAGTCTAAGTAAAATATGAGTTACTGAGGGTCATGGGAGAGAGTTCTGGGGCTAAAGTTATTTAGGAGTTGAAGCTAGACGTAAATTGTCTTTCTGTGCCTTAAAATCTGTCAAGTTGAGGATTAATGGGTTCCAAAATGTTGGGGAGAAAGCTTCATTTTCTTCACCGGACTTCTACGATGTAAAAACTTATACTTTGTTTTATTGAATTGCATGTTTTCTTATCTTTCAAAAACATTTGAAATTATGTATTGCAAAGTAATTTCACAAAAACTGAAGTGGTATTCGAATGATGGTCATGATTTTGTTCCATCACTAATACTGAGCTTTTTTTATGTTGTAAAATATAATATCACCGATGCAGCGAATGGGTATGGAGTATGACCTACCAATGTTTATCGGAACAAACTGCATTCACATTGACAGCAAATTTCTAGCACTCCAATTATTATTAGCACTCCACAGTTGTATTTTATGGATGCTGAAATAATACTAAAAATTGTTTCATGCAGTCCATTTCATTCTACTAAACAGAATTGTGTCGGTATAGCAGTTACATTTTTAGTGGCAATCCAGTTAACAAATTCCAGTAGTAATATATAATGTGTGCTATTATACAGATGCTAAAGAAGTGGTATAATCTAACAGTGTACTTGATTTGAAAGTGTTCATGAAAAATTAACCTATTGGATTTTGAAAAAATGATTAACCTTTAAAACATAGAGTGAAATTAAAGGCATAGACGGTGGTTTTGCATCTTAAGCAAGAAAAAGCAAACACTTTGTACCGATGATAGGATTTTTCAGTTTTAATTATGATTTTTTTCAGTTTATCCTGGTTTTTAAACTATTTTTACAGTGACTTTTTTTCCTTTAAGAAAACAAGTGATACTCACATGAATAGTGTTTCCTAATAGTTCTAAAACAAAGAATGTAATGTTGCTTAATGAAAATTATACGGACTCAGAAAATAGCAAGTAATATAAAATCACTGCAGTATTTATTGACTAAAAAGTATTTTTAAGCATATGGGAGAAGTGCATATAGCAAATTAGTGTATGAAAGTGCATGGTATTGTCAGTGAATTCAGCAAAGCTACGTTATGTGCCACATTGAAAGTGAAGATGCATTTTCTTTGTTATAACCGCATACCTGCATTTTATAAGAACTTCTACATTAGGGTGAAAATAGCTTTGTCAGTCACATTTAACTAAAAGCTCTAAAGAATTAGGTTTTTCTCTCAGTGTCTAACCTGAGCCTGAGTGATTCTAAACGTAATACAATATGATACATTTTACACACTTGCAAAAACATTTTATTACAAATTACATTGTATGGTACGATATAACACGATATGTAATTTTAAGCAAGACTATATGTATGTTAGCTTTTCCAGTTTTAAAAAAATGTAAAAAATTAAAAATTTGCAACTTCTTAAGAAAATAGCCTGGACATGTACAGAACACGCCGTGAGAACTTTCACTTTTAGCTCTTACATGTTTCACCAGTGAATTTTCCTCTATCATTTTAAATGATTACAGAATACTGGTCTCTGTATGAGTCAGTAACCGCACATAAAAACAGTTCAGTTTGTGTCAGAGTCCTTGCACACAAGAACATTTAGAATAGGTTTATGGGAAAAGCTACTGATTCGGTGACAATTTCTAATTGACTGCCATTGAGAGATGCTTGATTTAATTTTGTTTTAAAAAAAACCCCAAACACTAGGCACGTTAGCACAGATGAGTTCATAAATTGTAACACTATTTTAAAATAATGCTGTTGTATTTTCTTGTTCTGTCCATATTTGATATTTCTTTCTGTTTAGAAAAAAAAATAATTTATTGTCTGGAAATACTTGGGTTTCTAAAACATGTAGGGTGGGCTGTCTTGTAAACAGTTTTATATTTTCAATTAAAAACGGTATAAAATACATGAAACGTTTTTTCCACATGAAACAATTGCACTTCCTTCCTGGTACACAGGATCACCTTTTCTAATCCTTCAGCTTTCACAAAAGTATTTCAGGATATTGTTTGCTTATGTACAAGAACTTGTAGCCCTCTTGAAGGTTTACTGCAAAGGTGACTTTTTTTCATTAAAGCATGCTGAAATTAATTTTGAGGTGGACACAGACATATTCTTCTGCATTTCTGTTCCCATTTTAACTTCCTTTCCTTGCTCTTTCCTTTGGGGGGGGGGAGGAGGGGAAAGTTATTTTTCTCGAGTTTTCTTGCAGTAATGGATTTGATGCACTTAGGGACTTGGTTTAGTGGGTATGGTGGTGTTGGGTCGACGGTTGGACTCGATGATCTTAGAGGTCTTTTCCAACCTCAGTTGATTCTATGATTCTATGATGCTGAGCTAATAGGAAAAATAGTGTAAATGAAAACACTTCAAATTTTTTAGTATGTGCAAACTCTTCTGCTAATGAGTACATCTCTTCCACCTAAAGACTGAAGAATTTGTATCTTAATGATACTGCAGGGAATGCAATTTCAAATCCAATTCTTAGTAAACCAGTTTGTCACATGATACTGTATGACTCAAATTATCCTAAATCCTTAAAAAAAACCCAAAAAACCAAAAACAAACAAAAAAAAAACCCAGAAGATTCCCACTCCCTGGCCACTTCTAGCCAGGGAGAAATTTTTCCACAAACGGTCACTCTAGATGCAAGTTTAATGACAGTAACGAATACTTAAAGGAAGAAGTTGCAGTTTATAATTCAGAGCAAAATTTTAAGTGTCATTTAAGAAAAAAACAAAACAAAAAACTAGGAAAAAACTGATTCACATCTCTTCCCTAAGTGTGTTGGTTAGCAAGTACAATTGATAGATTTCGATATAAATTATAATATATTGGGAAACCCATCTGAGAAGCTTAGTAAATAAATAGCATTGAAAATTGGTGCTCCTTCCAAATAGGTTTCAAAGCATAATGCATACTATAAATTTTCTGGTGCCTTCTGCAATAGTGTAGAGGTTTTCCAAAGACTGAGTTACAAAAAGATATTACATTATGGCAAATGCCAACAATCCGTAGAGCTTTTGTTCTGTTTGTGGGGTGGTTGTTTTTTCTGTGCCAGAATGTGTCATTTAGACCTTGTGAGTACCAAAAGACTGAAAGTGAGATCTAGGACAGATGATTGTCCCGTAGCCTTGACCCTGTCAGCTTGGTGTGGTTAAAGGCTTGTTCTGACTTTGGGAGGTTTCTAGCTGCTCACCCGTTGGAGATGAGCAGCAAACTTGTTCGTCTGGTGATAAGGACATAGCTAAATTAGAAATGATGGTGCACTGTTGAAATGTGATAGCTTGGTTGAAGCCTACGTCACATGAAGGCAAATATACATATAGTCACATCTTAGAGATTATTCTTGCTCTTGGACCACATGAAAAATTGTGCTTTGTCCAGGATGTATGTGCTGAAAACTGCACTCCCCGATCAACATGGATTTGTAAAACTGAAGACCATGGCAAACATAAGGCTTGCTTGCTTTTTTTTTCCCCTCGTTGCTGTTTAAAGACAATAAACCAAGCCCCCAAAAGGCTTTAAAACAATAGTGATATTTAGCTGCGTACAGGATGACAGCCTACAATTTAACAGGTTAGAACGTGACGCTTTCAGATCTAAGGGGGGGAAATAGTTTTACGTTCCATCTTTGTACAAATTTCAATTCAGGTTTTACATCCCACATTGGTGAACTGCAAATAAAAGTTGGCAAGGTATTATCTAACGCCTTGCTTCTGGACATTAGTTTATAGGTACAAAGGCCTTTTTGGTACATACAGTGAGAACTGAATGCTGCCAGAATGGTCAGAACTATATTGGCCGGTAACACTGATCAGTCTACGAAGATCCCGTTATAGATGATTGATAGAACTCCAAATATTTTTCAAAGAAGGCCTTGAACTCCACATGTAATGGACTTGGGTTAAAGGAACCAGAGTTTCCATCTTCCATGCTTTTTTGATTCAGTTTTGGATTTTTGCTTGGGAGTGGAGGAGTAGCTCTCCTGAGAATAAGGCAAAGGTGCAACCTGAGTTTCCTCAATAGGATGAAGTTTTCTCAAAACTGGCTGTAGTTTATCTTCTTGCTGTTTAAAATCCAATTCCACACTAAAAAAGGGAAGAAAAAAGCAATTAGTTACTAATTATGATGATAGAAAGATTTCAATTAAGCCAGCATCTGACACCAATGGGCAAGTGCATAATTTATGAAATTCAAATACAAAATAAATGTTTAAATCAGATCTCCACATTTCTTACACCAAAAGTGAAAGGGATGGGGGGAAGAGGAAGGTCAAAAAAGGACATACTGCAAAAGAGAAATAGGAATGGGAATGAGAAGCAAACTTCTCCCTCCTGTTTAGGAGGGCCTTGAGGATTATGGTAGAAGTGCTGTGATTGAAGACTAGAAATACTACTTTTTCACTCATCTCTCTGGAGAAATGCTCTTTCAGAGGGCTCCCAGGCTCAGTTCTCCCTCCTGTCTGCATGGTCTGGGAGGTTAGGGTGGCAGCCAGGCATGTGCATCCTTGTGCTTTTCAGAAAAGCTGATGGGTTGGCCATAAGCAACAAGGCTGTCATGGCAATTTCTTTACCGTAGCTGTTTCTTGCAAGTTTTACCATGAGTTAGGTTAATTTCACCAAACTGTTGTCATATGTATATACTCATATACGCATGTGGAAAAAAAATGAATAAATTAAAAAACAATTCTCTTTTACAGTGCAATCCTTTAGCATATGCTGACAGCATCTAAACTTAGCCCTGTAATGAGGATAACAACATAAAATCTACTCGGCCCCTGCTGTAAATGACTGCTGAGGCAAAAACATCTAATGATGTAGATCCATTTAGCTGACCAGATCTGTAGGTAAAATAAGTAAAATGGAAAGAACCCGTTTCAGTAGTAGCTAGTGTGTACTCGCTTGTTCCATTGCCATTAAAATGTAATAGAAATAAGGGAAATACTCATTTAAGCGTAAGCTTGCATTCAAACAATATACTGAAGCTCTAAAATACACCTCCTGAATTCTAAACATTGTCGGCTACAAAATCCTGCCAGCAATTAAGAAACATAATAAAGATGAAATTACAACCCTTATTTCAACAGTGCACTACAGATCATTTCAAGTTTACCTTACAAAACAAGGGAACCACATTGTAAACTTCAGCAAAAGGTTAATTCTGTCTGATACTCAAAACTGAATCTAGGCCACTTACAAATACCTGGAAACGTCATGGTTTTAGTTGCATTTGGTACAGCAGCTTGTGGCCAAGTCCTGCACCGAGTCTTTTCATCCTGTCTAATGCATTACATTTCAATGTGGCACCTGGATATCAGAGGATAAATTTAGAAGACAGGGTGAAATTAAGGGAATTTAGTCATGGGTTAATTTATTTCTTCCCTACTTTTTGCTTGATATTTTAAACCTAACAGTTAATGATTGAGGTGAAGATTGTGTCTGAATGCATCTGTTGGGGCACTTGAGAGGTGGCCCTTTCACCTCTACTGCTGAGGTTTCTTGGGCTTTGCACTGACAACTTTGCTACTTCAGCGTTGCATGAATATGAAGTTGTTCCTGGATGTCAGTTCACCTTTAATAAGTATTAAATATGTTTTCTGAGTAATTTCTGCCATTGCTTGTTTGGCGTAAACCACTAGAGAAGTTAGGTCTACTTTTTCAGGCCTCATGCTCCCAGTGTAGTTCATCTAACAAGAGATTTTTAAAATTTTGTTACTACTACTCCTGTCTAGCTTAAGGAGAGTGGCACCCCACCTTGAATGCATGGAAGCATGCAGTACAAAACACCTGAAATAATTTCAGAGGAAATTCTCTAAGTAAGCTGCAATAACAGAAGTCACGGGAAATTTTGGTGGACTTCAGTGCCACAGCCTTTGCAAACTGAGCAGATAATACCATCTAATACCATCTGCTGATTTACGTGGATTTTATTTTCCTCTTAGGGTGGAGGAGAGGGAATCAAAGATGCTAAGAGAAGTTTGGGATATCTTTGTGCTTTGTTTTTTTGAAGAGCTGAAGAGTCTGCCTACAAGGACTTCCAGTGAAGCCCTAGAAAGGGATGCTGGAAAGGTGTAAGGTCTTTTTTTGCATCTGGCTGTGCCTAGTTTGGTGTTTTGGTTGGTTTTGCATCTGGCTGTGCCTAGTTTAACTGTGAAATATGTTCTGAGCAAAAGTGTCAGCATTTCAGTGATTTGGAGTGATTTGGATAAACTTTCTAATAGTGGAGGAGAGAAAGAAATTAGGTAAGAGTTCAAATATTCAAAATATTTTCCCCACCTCTGTTTTGTTAAGCAGTAAAAAGACATTCCAAATCAAAGAAGGTAATTTTTAAAATTTCAGCTATATGCTAGAACTATACTTACGAATACTGAATTTGCAGGAGACAGCTGTGTTGGGTATCCTGTTACTGCAGAAGAACACTACAAGCCTACTGATTAATCTAATATCTGTCCTTGTTAATGAAAGAACAATGCTGTCTTCAACTTGATAACATGTTCTTGTTTGCAGTTTAGGTAGCAAAAAGCAGTTGGTTAGATAAGTGCGGCATTAATTTTGTAGTAAGATTGGGATATCGGTTGATTGTGAATGCCCCACCACATAAATGCTTTCAGTAATAGTGAGAGAATCTCGGCATGAAATAGAATCTTCTCTAAGAGCTCTCTAAATCTCATTTAAAGTGGCATGCAAATCTGTGCAGAATTTGGCATATATTATAGTTGGTTTGTTTCTCAGTATAAATTTGCAGTATAAATTTGGGGGGGGGGAGGAAGGCATTTCAGCTCTGGCATTGGCAGAGTTCATTTTTACTTCTTTCAAAATGTTATTCTTGAAGGGGTGCTCTCCTAAGAGCTACTTGAAATTGATGTAAAAGATAAATTGTTTTAAAAAAACTTGGCTGAACAGAATAACTTTTTTCATAATCAATTTCTATTAAAGACAGACCTCAAGAGAAAAACAGTCTTAGTTCTAGTCCATATGACAAAAACCATGTTATTATCATTTTCTACCGCATAAAACCATTTGCAGCACAGTTCAGGCTGTCTTTCAGCTATTTACATCAAAATGAAATATTTTGCTTCTGAAGAGTATAAAGAGGATGAATGAAAACATATTATTTCAGCATTTATAACTGTAAATTTTGCAATAATTGATTGTTGTTTATCAAGATCAATTTATCTAGCTTTGTAGGTTTTTTAATGTAACCATTCCTTTCAGGCAAACTAAACTTAGGTTTAGTGTATAACCGTTTGTGCTGCAGCAATAAGACAAAACCCTTATTCTGTAATTTTTCACATATCTTTCTAAATTAGCTAGAGCTGACTTTATTTTTGGTCTTTATATGAAACATATGAAATATTATTAAATTCAGTAAGTGTTACATATTTGTGACTTCTTTATAATTTTGTTATAGAGCTGCAGATCTTTCCAGTTCTTGCATTCATGAACTTGATTTTGTCACCTGTCACAGGTCTGACATTTTGTTTTGCTTAGTGCTATTTTTGTATCCTAAGTATCTACAGGTTTCCTCTCAAAATGACCTTTTCTTGAAATACTCTGTGCCATGTGGCTCTTTTCACTTTCAAACTTAATCTGTTTTTGTCTCTTCTTTAAGCCTCTCCATGATAACTCCATAAACTTAATTAGTGAGGACTATATGTTCTTCTAGCATTATGCATGATGGAGATCGTAATTACTGGCTTCAGAAGCATTTTTCGTTAGATGTAGTAATAGTATTTTTCAATAGACTGACAATTGTGAATAAGCCCTACAAAATCAAGGGACGAATCAAAATATTATATAACGCTAGCACCACAAACATTTACCTGACACATCCGATTAGGGCATACTAAAGGTTCACTTACCTACAATATTGTCAAATTTGGAACATTGGGTTGGAGTTTCTCCATGTTCAGTGCCTGTCTCAAATTTTTCCTGTGCATGAAACTCCAGTGCAAATAGATAGGCTGTTTTTGTGAACAACTATAAGCAGTAAAATTTTGTCTGTGATAAGTATTCTGTTTTTCTGTGTTTCCTCCCCAAAACAACTATATACTTAGAAGGTTTACAACAGAAACTTCATGTTTTAGGGCAGTTGCCTGTGTATCAGTGTTTGCATAGATGTCATTCCCGTGAAAATCTGGCCAAATCAAATAACAGACCTTTGAGAATTTTATTTTGATGTGCTCATTAAACACAGGCAAGAACTTTGTAAATATAAGTGCTGAAATTCCTTCACAGTGAGATGAGTCTAGTCCAGGACTGATCAAAAATCTCTTTGCAATTGCAGCTCTAAGATACCTTAGTCTGTGCTTGATCGAGCCCCAGAGCAGAGAACCCTGAGGCTGCTTTTCTGTCATCTTGTTTTCTGCTAGGGCCTGATACCAGTGCAAAGGGAACCCAAAATGAGATTTTTTTAATTTTTTTTTTTTTTTTTTTTTCCTTCCTTTCCCATTTCCCAGATCCTGGTGTTATTTATTGCACAGCATGGATGTGCACTAAACTGACTGGGGAGCCTAGCTGAAACGTGACTCATGATCTAATTTTGTCCCTAGGAAGTACCATTGACTTGCTATGGAAGTTGGGTTTATAGCGAATGAGGCAAAGTGTTGCAAAAAGGTAGAGAGTAACAGTCGGGCAGTTGAATGCTGCCTTGAAAACTATTTTTATACATGACTGTTAATTTTGGAATTGAAGTCAGCGGGAACCTCTGTGGGGTTTCTCTGCTTGATTTGCTTTGGGCTTAGTGTCCCCCAGCCTTTGCTTTTGGTGTTTGTGAAATGGAGTTATTGTGTTTGGAAAACAATGGAGACTCGCATACCATAATAACGAGTACCCCAGGACAAACTTGGAACAAAACTGTTTTCTATGCAGAATTTGAATCATATTCAGGAAAGAAACAGAAACAAAATATATTGAATAGCTGCTCATCAGTGAAGGACTGTGTACTTGGTGCCTGAAGCCCCAGGGGAGAGGAGTAAAGAACTGCGTGACTTTCTAATTGAGCACTCATGGTGCAGTAGTGCTGATCAACGCAGGGTTTGTTTGGCCTCCAGCCATTCTCAGAGGCCCTGAGAACATCTCAGAGGTGC